GGGCGGCGCGTCCCCGCCCGCTGCGGCCTGAGTCACGCCGGGCGGGGGGCGGAAGTAACGGACGGGGGGCGCCCGGCCCGGCGCTCCTCGCCTTATTTAGTCAAGGAGGCCTGCGATTGGCCCCGGGGACGGAGGGGCGGCGCCCGGGTGCCGCGGGGCCCGAGCGTGGAGGCGGATGCCGGGGAGGCGGGGGGGCGTCGCTGTGACTTTTCTGTTTGCGGCCGGGCGGTGCGAGGCCTCGCCCAAGGTCACGTCGGGGCCGTGCCGGGCCGTGCTCTGGGAAGCGGGGCTGGCGGGGCTGCGCCCAGCCCTCCGGGAGCGGGCCGGGCCGGGCGTCCTGCGGGGGGCCCTCGGGAGGCGGCAGCGCCTGGCTCGGGGTGAGCCGGGAGGCCCCGGGAGCAGCTGCACTTCTGCCAGAAGCGGGTGGGTCCTTCCCTCTTAAGGATGGAGGCTCGGAGCTCGGAGAAATGACGTGGTTTTTTGTTTCTAGTTCACTGCTGGCTTTGGTGGATTTTGATGATGACCTTGTTGTGTCTCCTCATTTCATATTCCACCCATTTAAGGGATGAGAAAACAGCGGCCCAGAGAGGTGGTGTCACCTTGCTGGGCAGTGTGGCAGAGGTGAGACTTAACCCAGGGCCTGTCCCCCAGGTCCTGGGCACTGTGTTCCCCCACGCACCCGTGTCAGCCCGTCATCGCCCTGTCTCAGTCTCCGCAGATGCTTCCTGGACTCCAGGTCCCCACTGCACCTGCTGACATGGCCCCCCAGACGACTACCCACCCGCCCCCACCGCGACACCACCTCCCCACTGGCAGGTTACATGTCGGACACACGGCGCAGGGAACCGGGTCATGTGTCCGCACTCTTAGCCTGGGCCTCTGCCGTTCCACCTGCCAGGAATTGCTTTCCTTCCTCTCCCGCCAGATGCAGGATCCCGGGTTGGATCCTGGAACAGAAAAAGGACGGTAGTGGAAGAGCTGGTGAAACCCAGATCACGTGGAGATTAATAATACCAAGGTCAACCTCTCAGCGTGACGACCGTGCCACGATTCTGTAAGATGCTAGCATCAGAGGACCCTGGGCAAAGAGGAGATGGGAACGCTCACCGTCTTTGCAACTTTTCTGTAAATCTAAAATTATCCCGTAATAAAAGGTTAATTTTTATTTTCGGCAGCTGGGCAGTGAGGGGATCTGAACTCTTGACCTAGGCCTTATCAACACTGTACTCTAACCAACTGAGCTAACCGAGCAGCCCTAAAAGGTTAATTTTTTAAAAACCAAGGAAAACCAAAGTTCACTCCTGTCTGCTCGCCTTCCTATTCTCCCAGCCCTTTGCAGACAGATGGAATGCAGGCTGATTGTCCTGTTTCCTAAAGCCCTCTCCAGGGCCCAGGGACAGCGCCTGGAGTGGGCTCTGTTTGGAACAGTTGTCCCAAGGGCTGCCCTGGAGGACGAAGCCAGTTTCCTGTGGCTTGGCCTGTCTGCCTCTGAGCTGTGGCTCAAAGGACAGGGTTGGGATTGCACTTCTGTCTCCCGTCTGGTGATCATCCTGGGGCTTGGTTCTCCTCCTGCCAGCACTGCACAGACTGAAGCCCAGAAAGTCCAGCTGGCCAGAGGTCTCCTGGGACTCTAGTTTCCCCTATACCCCCCCACCAGCCTCCCAGTGCTGTGGAACCCCTCAGGCAGCTGTGAGGGAGTTGGGTGCTGCCTGTTTGTCCAGTTCTCAGCATCGGACAAGGCTCCAAGACTGTGCTGTTTTACAGGCAAGGACACTGAGGCAGTCTCCTGGGTCAGGGAGTGAGCCAGAACTCGGGGCATGTTGCATTACTGAAGGTCAGAGTGTTCTGGAGGGGCAGTGTGGGCACCCCGCACGATGTTTGGGGGGTTGGGTGCACACAGACACCTAGACCAGGAGTTCCTCTGCCCACTCCACCCCCACTGCTCTACACCTTTTAAGGACAGAAGCCCTGCTGGCTCCCTATCCAGGGTTCCCCATCTCCCCACTGAGGTGTCGCAGGAACCAAGGAGCCCCCTGGAAAGACCCTGAGTTGAGAACTGGGACACCTAAGTTCTGGGCTGGGCCCTGTGCCCACTGTGTGGCCTCGCCGTACCCTACTTTCTGTAAAAATGAGAAGGGCCAGAGATATGAGGGTGTGTGGCCCACCGGGGGCTGAGGCGCGTGGTCCTTTTGCGTGGGCGAGAGATCTAGGGATAGGAGGCCCAGCAAACCCTCCCCCAGGCCTCCCCACTGAGGCTCGCCAGGCCCTGGCCTTGATGTCCCCAGGCATTCCGTTTTTGGTGCTCGGTAAGAAGCACTCAGTGCCTCCGTGTGTCAGACCTGGGACTGGGACGTGAAGGCTGCTCCCTACTTGAAGGGCACAGCCCCAGACCCAGCTGTGACCCTTGACTGGACTCAAAGAGGATGGCCTGGAACGGTCAGTCTGTCTGCTCTTCACCTTCCTGCTGTGAGGTGTGATCAGTAAGCACTACCAGGAATAACGATGTCATGAGGGGCCGGCCTGTGGCTCACTGGCTGAGCGTGGTGCTGACAACACCAAGTCAAAGGTTAAGATCCCCTTACCGGTCATCTTTAAAAAAATAATAATAATTATGTCATGGATGCTGGTGTGGGTCCCACCCAGGGCAAGAACTTGCCCCACCTCACAAGCACCTGACCCCCTTCCCACCCCCAACCTCCCCCCAGAGATAGCCACTGTGGGGAGTTTGTTTCCACCTCTGCCCTTTGCTTAGTTTCAGTGGAGCAACATGAGTGAGACCCAGGTGTCCCGGCCCCTCCTGCTGCCCCACACAGTGCCCTCTCGGCACACGGCTAAAGTCAGAAACCAGGGTCCCCTCAGGCCACAGCACCCCTGGCACATCTCTGACCCGCCATGCGTGTCCTTGCCTGTGCCCTGGTGGCCCTGTCCTCTCTCACTTGTCCTCCCCCAGCAGCCTGGGCCCTGCCACCGGCCTCTTGCTTCCCATAATTGCCTGCCATGTTGCAGATCACATCCCGGCTACTCCCCCTGGCTACGCACCGCCTCATGAAAGAATCTTAGTCCCGTCCTGGCACTGGGGGCTCTCAGCATGGGCTCTCCGCCACCTACTGCACCCTCAGTCACTGTCCTCCAGCCCCTGACCTCTGCCCCCAAAGCTCTTCCCACGGCTGCTTCCTCTTCACAGGACCTGGCCATCCATGGCCTCCCACCAAGTCCCATGGATTGATGGTTTGTATGTCCCACCCTTGGCCGAGAATGTAGGTTCTGAGGCACATCCCTTTGTGCTCCATGGTGAAGCTGATGTCCCCTGTGACTGGAACAGCACCTGGCACCTACATGTGGGCAGGAAGCCTGAATGGAGGCGGAACAGAGAGGGAGGGGCTGCCAGCCCTGGAGGAGGGAAGGGACAAAGGAGAGCCCAGCGAGTGGAGCAGACTCTGAGCTGTCCCCAACCCCGACTCCAGGATGCAGGGGAGACATGGCTCTAGGGCTGGGAGGAGGAGGGTTCCCAGGCCTGACTCCTCCCGGGGCGGGGCTTCTCCTGCTACCCAGCCCCAGTCAGGACAGGGAGCAGCTGCCCAGCACCAGGGCTGGGGGGAGGGCAGGGGTGACGAGAAGGGTCATGTTGGTTAACCTTCCCGCGCCTCCTGCACCTCCGGCTCCGGCCCCTGGCTGCGGGAGCTCGTCCGGCTAAGCTCCGCAGAGCTGGACTAGGTCGGTGCCCCGTGCCACAGGTGTCCCCACCTCCAGGGCTCCTGGGCCACGCCGACGACGGGGAGGCGGGTTAGGGCGAGAAGCGGGCAGGAGGCCGCTGCTCTGCGCGCTCTGTCCCCCCCGCCACTGACCCACGGGCTGCGGCTGCCGTGCGCAGAGT